GGGCATTATAATATTAATTTATTTATCTCAACAGAGGCTGCCTTTGGGTAGAGACTTGCATAGCCTTACATCTTATTGGTAGACTGATGTCATGGGATCAGTGACATTAGGGGATATGCCTTACTTGGGACCAGTGTTCCCTCTAAGCTGAGTTAGTGTGAGCTAGCTCACAGTTTTTTAGCCTCCAGCTCACACATTTTTGTCTTAGCTCAGGAAGAATGGCTCCAGAGCAAACGAATTGATGCAGTAGCCAAATTGCTCGCTCACAACTTTAATGCCAGTAGCTCACAAAGTAGAATTTCTGCTCACAAGACTCCACAGCTTAGAGGGAACATTGCTTGGGACGTACTGCATTTTAACATGCTCAATGCCCTGTTGACCTCAAAGGGAGAATGGGAAGTTCTAGAGTTACCCCTTTGACTTTCTTCTCTTTCTAACCTTGGGTGCGCGTTTCTTCTGATCGGGATGGAGAACTATGTCAGGATTCAGCCCCTTTCTCCTTATCTTTATACTCGTTTTGCTGGTTTGGTCTATACAACATTTTTTTCTTCTAGTTGCATGTATGATGAAGTGGCATGGCTCAGATGTAATTATTTATTACATGAATAAGCATGGAGAATACCTGAACTTGGATGTTCCTTATCTCTTCCCTTTGCACTTAGCTCAATAACAAAACACTTCTGCTGTCATAAAAAACATTATTCTATCCAAACCACAAGTAAACCTCCCTCTTCCTCCAAACCCAGGTTAAACCAGAGTTGTCATCTTAGTTTGGAGGCAGGAGAACAATTCGTAGTTTCAGATGTAACTGCTAACTCTGTTTTGCTGTGAAAGCAAAAGTGTTTAATTTGGCTGCAGTGTGGGAGATTGAGAGAAGCTTGTGAGCCTTAAGACACCTCCAGGTTCATTCATGTAATGTTGGTGCAAGAGTTGGTTCCAGTGTACAGAGGTTGAAGAAAGAGACTGTTCCGCCACATGTCTGTTCTGAGGATTTAATCTCTAAGATTGATGCTCTCCTTCCCTTTATTTGTTCGCTTGCTTATTTAAAATGTTTCTATCCTACTTTATCTCCTCAGTCTCAAGCCAGCTAATAATGCAGCAGCCAGTTTGTGAAGACACAAATTATAACATCCAAACTGACAAAATTAAAACACAGATTAAAATGCACAAATTACAAGTTTAAAAGCACTCAAGATATAAAAGAAGCGGGAAGAACAGACATTCACAGCAAGCCCCAAATGTCCTTTTTTGTTCTAATTTAAGATGTATTAGAGTATCAGACGTGATCATACTTGCAGATGTGTTTTGTTCACTTAAAATGTTTATTGTTAACTCAATGTTGCTTTTAATAAAAATTGTAATTAAAAAAAATAAATAAATAGCTGTATATTTAAACAAAAGCTGAACATAACATTTTCCTGGTTTTTTTTCCCCAGGTCTCCGGCAAGAATATGCAGCTACTGCTTCTCGGCGCAGTTCTGGTTCTTCATGCAGTTCTATGAGGCGAGGTACCTTTAGTGACCAAGAACTTGATGCACAGAGCTTAGAGGATGATGAAGACAGCTGTCACCACGCGGTGCATCCGGCTGTGAACCGATTCTCTCCGTCACCACGCAACTCACCACGGCCTTCCCCAAAGCAGTCTCCGAGGAATTCTCCCAGGTCACGTTCGCCCGCTCGAGGAATTGAGTATAGTAGAGTGTCACCCCAGCCAATGATTAGCCGCTTGCAACAGCCTCGTCTTTCTCTTCAAGGCCATCCCGCTGATTTACAGACTAGTAATGTCAAAAACGAAGGTAAAGGGCTTTGTCTCAAATGTTGCGCACAAAGCATTGAAGTCGTGGTGGTGGTGGCCGCCTAGTAAGTAGATTGCTTAGTACGTAGTATTTAAAACCAGCTGCATGGTGTGGCATTACTCCTGAATTGCTGAGAAATGTGCAAGAAAAAAGTAAAACAAGTGCCTTGACTATTCTTTTCATTAGGGCAGCTGGAAATCAATCAGCTGAGTGAGTAATACAAAAACCTTATTGGGTTTCAGAGAAACGTAGACTGTCGCCATTCTGTGGTTGCATAATTTTAAATTTCTGCTAAGGCTGAAAAGTCCATCTGAAAGGCAAAATACCCAGCCAATGAAGAGCCTCAAGGCTATGAGAATGGTTATTTGCTCCCGGACAATTAGTACTCCCGTTGTAATTTTTGTCCAATTAATGTTTCAGTGGGAACAAAACGAGCAACGTCAACTGTTGCTGTTCTGAGATGGTACCGATGAAGAAATGTACTATGTGATTATGCAGGAAAAATGTGTGAACTGCTTAGCTAATAAAGTGGGGTTGATTGTTATCTTCTAAAACGTACGTACAGGAGAGGTCCTTTTTAATATGTGGGCTTACAGCGTTCACAGATTTAACAAATTGTTCTTATTTGTAAAAACTGAAAACTTGTCAGATATGCTACAGACATGACAGCTTCAGTACTTTACATTTAGTTTTAAGTCACTTTTCTCTGGCAGTAACTCCATATGTTCAAAGGCAAGCCAATGTAACGAGAATAGTTTCTAGTGAGATGCAGAGCTGTAATGAAGATATCAGTAAGATCTGAGAGACATACATTTTAAGGTTAAAATTCAGTCTTTACTTCCCTCTAGGAAACATTACTGAAGGTTTAAATTATATACTGCCATCACTGAATTTCAGTCTTTTTTAAAAAATTGAGAAATTATGTAGAGGTTATCTAAATGTACTTGAAGGAGAAACATTAACTGACCAAATCTGTTCATAAGATTGTCTCTAAAATGTTCCTCTCTTCCTAAATAAGGTTTCCAAGTAGATTTTTCCAAGGAAAGAGAATTAGCAGTATTCCTGTTAGAAAATGTTCCTCTCTTCCTAAATAAGGTTCCCAAGTAGATTTTTCCAAGGAAAATTAGCAGTATTCCTGTTAGAACTGGTTGAGCAATCCCTAAAATTAGAAATTCATTAACAACAAAACGCTACGGTACTTACTGTGACAACATTTTTATTTACTGGATATTACAGTTTTATATGGTGCTTCATGAAGTATGTAAAACTAGCATCTGCTTGGTGTCCACTGAACTTGGCTTTCTACCTGTTGTGGAGGATTCCAAATTGAGTCTGCACAGGGAGACGGCATCGACCATATTTGGCACTGTTGTTTTTCTGTTGTTGTTGGATGTCCCTTTTTGGCTCTTCACCTGCTTTACATATCTTGAGGCATGTCTTCAGATACCTTGCACTGCTAACTCTGCTTTGTGGAAGGGTTGTGGGGCGGGGGCGTGGATCAAACCGGTGTGCTGTTGAGAAAGGGTGGCTGTAAGTGCTTTCATTCACTTGGCTCTTCGAGGCTTCCATTCACATCCCTGTTCATTCCCATGCCCTTGTCCTAATGCTTTTCCTGAGTTCTGTACATCCCGTGCTCCAAGAGATCACAGCTAATTCTGCATGTTGCTAAAGGACTGTTTAGGCAGGGATGGCCTTGGGAGCTGAGACCTTGTAAAGGCAGATTCAGTAGCCTGCTTTCTCTTCCCCAGACTTGTGCCCCCATATAAGCTACTGATCAATTGTATCTGATCAATTAGAAACTTATGAACAAGACTCAAGCAATGTATAGATTATACCATTTCAGAGACATGAAGGTGGTATGATAGAGGTATTGTTTCTCATAGTATATGCATTCATTTTTTTCATTTATACACTCTGGTTAAGTAGGCTTTGTTTTTTCCCCGTAGAGCTTCAAAAAAACCCATAGTTTTTCTGAATAGCTGGCTATTTTCTGAACCTCAGCGTAGTGGAATAACTTTTTAGACTGTAATAGATACCTCTCTCGCAGAAGTCTAATGGAAAAGAGTTCATAGTTATTGCAGGGAAGGGTGTGTTCCTTTATGGATTTGTTCTTTTACTGGATCTTCTGAAATTCCATCCATTTGTAGTGGGAGAGGCTATTGATTAACCTTTCCAAACCTTAGAGAGGGTCTCTTCATGGAGGAATGGGTCTCCCATTCTGCCCTGGCTGGCTTGCTTATTCTCTTGCCACCAGTTGCTTGATGTCCTTTCAGGCGTCCTGCTTGTGATTAACTCCAGTAGCTCTTGCCACAGTGCCGTGGAAGAAGAGAGTGTGCAGGGTGCATGGAATAGAGACCCAGAACAGAAACTAAGCTGGAGTGTTAAGAAGGTGAATAGTAGTAATATGGGCTAGGCTGGCTGCTGCAGCTGCTCTAGATCAGGAAAGGGACAAGAGTTCATGTCCTGCAAAGGCCGTGCCACAGACGTCCCTTTTGGGGCGGGTAGGCAGCCCAGGTTCTAGAAAGCCACAAAGGTCTCCAGGTTACCTTGGTTGCCGACCTTTAGTTCACCAGAAAAGAGGGGCGATCCATTAATAGGATTATTCTGCTGTCGAATAAAAGATGATCTGAAGCATTGCATCCTTTTTGGTTTTCATTGGGCTCAGTAGTCACAAACTGTAACCACAAACTATAACGTAACACAGAAAATATAGGTAGCGGTTTTTAAGGAACAAGCATGGATAAGAAAATACTTCAGACTCCTCAGCGTCATTTCAGGCTCTCCACCTTTCTTCGGGGGGAAAGGTCCTTTTTATAAGCACAAGCAGAACTGTTCTAGGTTCTGAACTGGCAAAAATAACTTCAAGCCACAAGGGCAGTTTTCACAAAACGGCATCCTGACTCTGCACACTACACAGGTATCTGTTCCTCAGAAATGTAGGCATAGTTCACCAAGCTGAAGACTGAAGGGTGTCTCTTGGAATTTAGTTTGGAAACCTTTTGAGGCTTAGCAAGACGGTATCTGTCACAGCCATCAAAGCAGGTAGCCAGTACAGGTTTTGCTTGCTTGCTGCATTTTATGGCTCTCAACTGCTCTATTATAGCAAAAGTAATAATGTTACTGAAGAACAAAGCTTTGCTACTGTTCTATAAGTTTGGCTAGCATTTCTCATGCTTTCTTGCATGCACACATGCCCATGTGCCAGTATTAAGTGGCTTTTTGAAAGGGAAGAGGGGAAGTGCCTGAGAAACTGGCTGGAGAAACACTCAAGCTTGAGATTCCCCCAAAGGTGAGAAGGGAAATTGCCTCCTTCTCCCCTGACAGGCTGCTGCATTGTTGTTTAGTTTAACTCATGGAGTACCCAGCATGCTGAATGCTGGAGTAAGAGGCAATTTCTGATCTGGGGAAGATGGGATCCTCACTAAATCAAAAAGGAGAATGGCTCACAGTGGAAATAGTGGCTGCTGCTGTTTGGCCATAAAGGTGCCAGTATCCTCTCCGTTGTGATGATCCCGTATGTTTCCCAGACACTACTTTTGTAAGCCGCCGTGGTGTTTTTTTTCCCTGGCAGTGGGTCCTGCCCTCCGTTATAGTAGCAGCATAATTGCATGGGATAGGAGGGTGACCAAATGAATGGACTATGTTTATGTGCATGCTAGTTAAAAAAAATGTTACCTTCTAAAAAATAAAGTCCAGGCATATTTTCTTCACCGGGATGAGCAGAGCTACTTTCTCACTCTTGCTTGCATTCTTTCCCCTTCATTTCCCTTTTGTTGCCCCCAAAAGCATGGAAATGCCAACAACCAACAAGAAATGTTGCCAAGGGCCAAACCAGACAGAGTGCAGTATGTCTGCGATTGGGTTTACCAACATTTTAGTTTTAACTTAAAGGCAAAGATGATTGGGTAGGTGAACTGAATTGGGCTAGTGGTGCTGGAGAGGGTTTTTTTTAGCCTATTCTTCCTGTGCGTGTTCCCCCAGTCTCCCTCCCCCTCCACTCAGCTGCTATTAGCATTGGTGTGGAAAAAGGTCATTTTTCCCTTTAGAGGAACTAATAGTAGCTTCAGGGAGATTTGGGTCAGGAAAATGGCACAAAGGGAGATTTAAATTATTCTTCTCCAGTATCTGTATCCCTTAGTCAAGTTGGTGAGCCCGCAGAGCTGTATCTCATTTAGCTTGGTCCAAACTCAAACCACACAGTAAATGTACAACTGGTATGTGGTAAAGCATGGAAAATTTGTTCCACCTAATCTGTTTGAAGAAAACAAATCCTCTTTAGCCTTAGAGCGACATCAAAAGCTGCCAAGGAAGCTCAACACCTTTACTATCAGTCTGTTGAAAGAGAGATTATCTGCACTCGTATTCCTTAATTGGGATGACTGATTTGGTGACAGGCCACCTATATCTTAATAAAGCAAGATTCATCCATAGCTATTTTTGGTACTGGTTGGACTGATGGAAGCTCGGGATGTCGTGTTCTTCAGAAGGGCATCTTCTTAACGTTAGGCCCTCCTGCAGCCATCGAGATCAGGTTATGCAATTTATCATTAGTTTGTCAACAGAACTTGCTAATTAATCTCATACACGACTTGTTACCTAAATATTCCTTGGCATTTACATAGTATGATCAGTTTTCTAAGAATTTTTACATGACATACAACTATTTTTTAATCTAGCCATTTACAGGAGCAAATACAGTAAACGAACCCCACTGAAAAATCACCACTGATTTTAATGTGATGTTCATTGGGTTGTCCATGTCTAAAACATTTTTTCAGTTTTGGCTGGATAGAATATTTAATACCCTCTCTGATGATAATTTGGCTAAATAGCTGCTGTGTTCCATCTTGGAGGGGAATGCTAGTTAGTTATGTCAGGCTATATTAGATAGAAAGTATCAAATCCTACAAATCCTAAATACTTTTTAGCTAATGCAAGTGTTTAATTTGGAAATTAGGGATGGCAGGCATTTCTTAGATAAATTAATACTTATCGATAGAAACATTCATGTCCCCATTTCTCTGTATTATATCTCACAGGCTAACAGTCTGATTTCCATACCTTAAATCCTAACTCCCATGCCAGAAACCAAAAGTTTAGCATTATTTTTTTCTGTCTCCTGCCAATGCTTCAGGGCAGTTTACAATATTTTTTAAAATTAAACAACACAGGAATAATCAAAAGAGTTATTAATTAAAGAAGTCAAGTTAGAAATGACAAAACATAATCACAAACTATAACATGATACAGAAACAAAAATATCACACTTAATTAGTTTCTTTAATATAATTTTGGTAATATTGCAGGGTCGCCATTAGTTGGAAGAAACTTGACGTAACTTAACGCACATACAGTATATTGCTAGGCAGTCATATTTATGTTATGCATGTTTGTGGCAAATTTGGTTTTTCTCAGGACGCTTGGACTTTGGATCACCAAGGTTGGTATTATGGTTGAGCCTTCTGCATCAGATGGTATGTTGTGGTGTTCTTATCTTTTCTCAATACAGAAAAACTAAGGCGTAGTCTTCCAAACCTATCCAGGACATCTAACATCCAAGTTGAGTCTGTGAAAAACAGTAGAAGTGACTCAAACTTTCAAGTGCCAAATGGAGGAATACCTCGTATTCAACCTCAACCCTCAGCCAGTAAGTATCTTTACAGTGATGCTGTAAACACTGCTTCTAAAAGTCGGCTGCAAAGAGTAGCTATGTGTTTACAGTTTCATGGTAAAGGAATTAGATATTTCATGCTAGTGATGATCATTTGGCCAAATCTAATATATCTTAAGCAAGTGAGGCGTTTTCCAAGTGCAGCTCTTAATGATGACGTGTGTACGGTGCTGTCATTAGTTACTTCTAATTGTCAATATGATACTTTACACTTTGGTGGTTTTCTACATGGAAACCAGCAATCCTTTGGTTAATCATTCTATATAAGCATTGGCTTTTTAAGCAAACAACACTGCTCATTTTTATGTAAATGATGTCTGATTTTCATTATCAAACAATATCCCTAAGCAAGGAATTGTATACTGAATTGCCTCCTGCTATGCAGCAACACACTATTTTGTTCCTTCGTTATGAAAATGTGAATAATTGAAATTTTATTATGGCATCCAGCCAGAGCAATCCAAACACCCCAGCAAGGGGTGAAGATGTGGAGATTTGTCAGGTTTCCATCTTACCGGTACCTAATATCAGTGTTACACACTATCTGTTGTGTTATTCTGATATAAATAGAAAACTAAGATTTTATTACCTATGATAAGCCCCTTCATTTTTATAATTTGATATGTATTACTCATGATATTTAAAATAAAAAATTAACATGAAAAAAGACCCTATGATAAGTCCCTTCAACAGATGGGAGGCTGAAAGTACTGATGTCAGACATAAAGTTTAGCTGCTTTGTGTGTATGTCAGACCAAAAGGAGAAATATAAATTTTAAAAGTAGTTGGGATTTCGTATTGGTGGACAATATTTATGCTCAAGAACTGATTGGAGAAGCCCCTTGTATAAAGGTATAAAACTCCATACATTTATAGCTGTAAGCATCAGTCACCTGAATGAGAGATGATTATGATTTCATTTCCGTCTTGAGTCTCCATGAGAAAGGTGAACTATAAATGAAGTAAACTAAAATATTTTTAAAGTAATATTGTTATGTGGAAGATGTTTTTACTTTTAAGCTTTTTCCAGTGGGGGGGGGGAACACACTCAGTACTGCCTTCCCCTCCCCCGGGTAAATTTTAAATTACTGTATGTAATCCATTGAGCTGATCATAGTAACATGACTGTGGGATCAAAGGCTAATAGCAAGCCCTTGTTCAAACATGCTGCTTTGCTAATAGCCAAGATGGTAAGGACTAAGGAATTTTGCATAACCTTGGGCATATACTCATTGCCAGATAACCAGCCTGTTCTTAAAGGAACTTGGTTTAAGGGTGTGTTATCAGAAATATCAATCTGACTTTTCAGTTCCTGTGCATAATTTCCTTTGTTTAAGAAAGGGGTACAAAGCTTGTCGTCTTTTACACAAAAACCTTCATAAAATGACTATATATTTTAGGACTAAATTTTATTTTGGAAGGAACACACAAATGTAACAGATATATCTTCTGACAGTTTTATGTACACAAGCCTTAATTTTTCCTATGTCTGTGCTTTGGTTTTCTGGGTCTTTACTGGATTTTTCGTCCTCAGACACTCCACGTGTTCTTTTCCTGAACTGCCACTCTGCATGAGCTTAACTTGGCAAGGTTGCTTTTGTTTCCACCTAAGACCAATTTTGCCTCGCTTGTTAACTCCTAATTTACACTTTGGGAAGCTGCAGTTGTTAATATTAGTGACCAGAAATGTATCCGTGGGTGTGTCATGATGGTTTAAACACAAACATTTCTCATTAACACACATAGCAGGGTCTAGAAAATTAATTATCACACCTTTGGAGCTGTCCATAGATAATGGAATTTGTTCACTTTCATTGCTTTCCACACTGTTCAGGCATTGTTTGCATTTCAGTTATGGATGAATTATAAATATTGTTACTTCCCAGAGTTCTTATCATCGACCCTACTTTCCCCCTTACTGAAAGTTGCCAATCTGAAGATAGCAGTTAATTCCACGTTACTCTGTACTTCTCTAGCGTTCTAAGGCGGAGAGGTACAGTTATCCATCCTTCTTTTGAACCAGATATGAGTTCAGAGAATGATGTCTGGGAAGCCAAGGTCTTGGTGAATGGTGTTTGTTATTGTAACCTTGCTCTGCATTCCATTGGTGTGCGTGGAAGTTAATATTAGGATTGTCACCTTTCTCCAGAGGTAGATAAAGCTGTCTGCTGTTTGCTTCAGTGGTTTGGAGGATCCAACCAGCTTTTCAGCTGATGAATAAGGAAGGGGGGATTCCCCTTTGACCACCCAAAAAGACTGTGCTGGGGGATCAAGGGACCTGCCGTGTGGGCCTGGTAGTAAGGAGGAGAATTGGGCAGGATTGAACTAAAACTTGCTGGATTCAACCCAGTAAATGGAAACTTACTTACATGAAGGCAGAGGTAAAATAACCCTGCCTGCTGCCTTCCAACCCTGATCAAGCTGATTTAAAGCTAATGTAGATGGTTATATAGTTATAGCTCAACTCAGTGCCTAGTGATTGGGTAATTAAATAACATGTCCCTGAGCATTTTCTGGGAGACATCTTAATAGTATCTCTCAAAACTTCTTTGTTTTGTTTTTTTACATATACTCTGATAGGTAATAGGAAAAGTCCTGTCCTTGTCCTATTTATTTATTTATTTATTTATAACACCAAACTGGCTCTCACCAAACTGGCTACGCCAAACAGGTTATATATAACTCCAATGTACCCTTTCAACATTTCAGGAAGAAGCTCTATTTAACAGGGGGAATTTTAATCTATACAGCCAATCAGAAGTCCTATTGCTGATACATGTTAACTGCATCAAGAGTAGTATTTGCAGCAAAGTGGAAGGTTGAGGGTTGTCCAGCTCTTGAGAACTGGATAGACAAAATGCAAGACTACGCAGTTATGGCAAAACTGACAAATTATATTAATCGGATACCGAAAGATGAATTTGGGAACAATTGGCGAGCTTTTTATGCTTACTACAATTAATCTTTGTGGTTATACATTTGAATGGTTTATTTGATAAATGCCAACTCTTATATTAAGAACATTATCCTTTGCAAGGTTTTTATTACAACAAATCATTGTTAAAATTGTATACAGAGTCAATGAGAATTTTCCTATGTTTTATTTTGAAATGAAAACACATTATGAGAAAATAGCAGAATATTCTGAGTAGGCTGTTATCATGGTTTACTAAGCCACCCTATTATACATCTATTTTTATAACAAATTTAGAGTCCACTGGCGCCTTTAAGACCAGCAGAGGTTGATTCGAGGTATAGGCTTTCGTGTGCAAAGCACACTTTTTCAAATGCAACGGAATGGGAGGCAAGGTTCAAACTTATAGACTTCTAGCCAGAGCAAGCAGGAAAGGTGTAGAAAGAAAGGAAGGTGATTTATTTAAAAACTCTTATTTAAAGTATTAAATAAAGGAGTGATGGACAAACTGTGCAGTCTGCCACCAACTGAAGGCACAGAACGGGGCGGGAGGAAAGCTTCATAGTGATGCAGCAGCAGCAGTGTGAAAAATATATTCATGAACAGTAAATGTAAAAGGGAAAAAGCACAGCATGTATTAGTTTATCACCATTGCAGGTTAAGCAGGCCTCTGCTGCCTCTTAGTTTCATCTCTGATTTTATTGTGTTTATACATTTATTCGCTATTAATATATACAACTTAGAATCAGTCTCCTTACCCTGAGGACTGGGAAGTAGTCACTGTAACACCAAGTATCTGTATTAGAGCCAGTCAGGGGTCATTTGGGGGGGGGGACGCCATCCCCCCGGGTGAGGTGCGGGAGGGCGGGGCCTGGAGCTCCCTGCTGGTGCCCACTGGAGGTCGCCGCCGGCTGTGGGGAGGACACACTTCCGGTGATGTCAGGGTGTGTGGCATATGCTAATGAGTTATGCTAATGAGTCCCCCTAGCTCTTTTTCTACGAAATGACCCCAGTGATATCTGTTCGTAACCTCTCTGGAGGCAGTGAGATCGCCTCAGTTTGTAAATTACACCAAACTATTCAGGATGGTGAAACAAACAATCTCCTCTAAATGGAGTAATTTTGTAACAAAAACATATGAAATTCAGTATAGGCACTTTGGGACAAAAATGTCTAACATTACACATATATGCTGATGGGGATCTCAGTTGGCTGTATCCGGGAATTAGCTTTGGTAGAAAGAAAGCTCTTTGAAAATCAGCTTTGTGCATTTGAAAGGGAAAATTCAATGCTAGTAATTATTGAGGGATTAAAAATAGGAAATAGAAAGCAACAAGTCTATAGTGTACCCACGTTTTGAAATACATATGATGCTGCTAGTCACTCCATCACAAGAATATGCTTCAAGTCTAGCAATGGTTGACAAAGATGATCTGTGTTTGGAGCATCTTTTTTGTGATTTTTGGCCTTACTAATTGGGGGGGGGGAGATTAAGGCTAGAAGGCATGATGAGGAGTTGTCAAATTATGTGGTATGGTGAACGAACAAAGAGAAATCATTCAGTGCACCAGAATTTGGGATCTCTTGAAAGTTACCAATTTACAGAAGGACATATGCATTCATGTAGTATGCAATTAATTTATGAAATTTGTTTTACAAAAATTTTACCCCACCTTTCTGCCCTTATAGGGGCACCAAGGCAGCTAACTAATTAAAACATACATAATAAAATACCATCTTGAAAGCCATTAAAATTCAGGATGGCATGTTAGATAATTTTTAAATGTGCACACACACACATTCATAGAAGGGAAACCTATCTAGTTTTTATAGTGATAAAAAGGAACCACCATGCTCAGAGAGGCAGTACACCTATGCTTCCCTCATGCTGGGTGAAAAATGGACAGCAGTTTCAGTCATGCTGTGCCTTGTGACCTTCCTGAATGAATCTGGGCTGGCCATTCGTGAAGACAGGCTAGTGTACTGGATGGACCTTTGATCTGGTCCAGCAAAGCTATCCCTATCTTCTGTATTGGTGGATTATGAACTGTATGTATTCATTTCTTAAAGAGAAGCCATAAGTTGAGTGCTTTGTGGCTGGTTATGTTGGGTAAATGTAGACTGTGGATCTTACATCCTATATTTGTGGTATAGGTTCTTACTGTAAATATTAAAGATCTAAAATGGATTTCTGATCACTGAAAGTTAATAACATATCTGAAAAAGTTACCACTTTGTGCTTCACCTTGACAGTTGTGGTTCACATAGTTCCCCCCCCCCTACACTATATTATTTGTATTTTTCTTACTTCATGCACATAGGGAAATTTTCTTCCTACTCTTGTTGAAGAGAAATGGGAAGGAAAATCAGAGAAGAATGAGAGGTGCTTGGTATATAAACTGTTCTGCACTTTCAAAAATGTAGCAGTTAATCTCCAGTGTTTAAGTTTTGCCGAGGGATTCTTCTTCTAGCACTGTTGCTCACTGTAGGCATAAATCTGGGTAAGTCCGATGGGCAGGCTCAGACTCTGAGGCCTGGTTCAGAGTGAACCCAGGTTAAAGAATCAGGCCACGGCATCATGTGCAGCCCCAGCCTTGCATGCAGTTCCCTTCCTCCCCCTCTACTCAAGTTGGCTGTTGTGTGAGCAGTACTAACCTGTGTTAAATGGACGCTGTATGTGCTCATAAAATTATGTGAAGAACGTGGCTTTAGTCAGGATTTTCAAGGTCTAGGATTGCCCTAGTTTCACTTTGAAGCAGGCCTTGCCCCCAGGTTCTCTAAATATTCTTCACGTTCTGATATGCCTGTACAGTTCTGACTTTATACTTTGGTGGGCTGCAGGTTGTCTGATACCTTGAGATACTGCCAGTTCCATCCTAAAAACGTTTTCCTTTGAATAAGCCCCATTGAATCTGCGTAGGTTTCTGAGTAGACCCGCTTAGGATTACTCTCTGCATCTTGTTTCAGTTGAGTGTTTTACCTCTGAGGCTTTGTGTCTTTCTGTCTTATGTTGAGGAGTTCAAACTTATTGTCCCATCTCAGTTTAACAAACTGCAGTGCTAGATTATTTGTCAAAAACTTTAAGAAAGCAAACATCCGGTCAGGAAAGCATACCTGAAAAATTAGCAGTCCACTATGATTTGAATTATTATTGTTTAAAGGGCCAGCTTTTCAGGGGAGAGGAATTTCTGGAGAAAGAAGTAACCTTCTAAATATGTATTTGAAATGAAACTGTGAATTGTCTCCTAGGTTGCAAATTAAATCTGGTCACTCACTGCATTGAATTTTCAGTATAACCCTGCACTGGTTTGGCTGTGGCACGTTTGGCTGGTGGCTGGTTCTCCTTTTGGGTGTGTGGACTATTTTGCCTTCCTCAGTTTTGGCCTGCAAGAAGCTTTTTGCCTGCTGAGACTCATAACACATTTTGTTGTACAAAGTTTCTGACACCACTTCGCTTCGCAATCCTTCACGATGTGGTGAGGATCACTTCTTTAAAAACAAAACTTCTTTTTCAACTGCTGCTACTGGAGCTATAACAGCTTTCAAAAACGTTTCCGCTGTTCATCAGGTTTTTTTTTTTGCTTCCTGGTGCTTCATAGGCAGATATAGTCCTAAAATCTAGTGAATTTTGAATTGTATCTCAAAGTCCTTATCTTCTGTCTTTAGACAAATATAACATGTCTTTGTTTCAACAGCTCTGCAAAGGCAGAAAAATTTGCCCCGTGTTGCCTTCAAAACCAAACAGCTACTTCATACTCCAGCTACCAAAGGAGGTAATTAGCTTATAGCCTCTTACTGAGCTCCAGCAAAACTCAGGGGGAAAACCCTTGGTTTAAACTTCTGCAACTCAAATTATGCATGTGGAGACTAACAATAAGCACATTTGTTGGTGAATACAATGTTGTAAGTTCTATACAGAGGTTGCTGCATTCTTCAGATGTTAGCTGTTAGAATCTTAAGATATGAGGGAAGGCTTTGATTCTTATGAAAGTGAACTCGAAAGTCCAAAATCTTATATAAGTTTAAAATTAATGAGAACCATTGCTTTAGGTTTATACAAGACTATTTTTTCTTAATAGGGGAAAGTAATGACCTTTGTGTCAGAATTTAATCACCTTTCTCCACTTTAGAAGCAAAGTTGAGTGGTATATATTAGTTCAGAGCACGCTCAATCAGTTGCTTTTCTTATAATAGCTTATATTTTTGGAGCTTTATGCCTAACTGATGGTGTCTTAATTGCAGGGCTTTGATCTGAAAAAGTTGGACACTATCTTAAAACATCAAAAACTATTGACTGATTCTTTTATTTTGATCAAAATCTGTCTTCTGTTGGTAAAACTCTCAACAATTTCAGCCATCAGAATAGTTAATATGGAACATAATTCAGATGGTTCTTTCTTGTTTTAAAGGAGTATGTATTTGGTATAGTCCTAACATTGCAAAATGCTCATCCATTTTTAGACAGCATCTTTCATTGTTGCCTTTTTTAAAAGTTGGCACTACCATACATTTTTCTTTGTAAATGATTTTGGAACAGCTGGCTGAAATTCTTCAGATCTGGAGATCTTGCATTCTTTCCAGAAATTAAGAGCTTCTTTTGGTTAGGCTGTTGGCTTAGGCAAACATTAAATCCATTATATTGTCAAGTTGTCAAGATTCTGAATAAAATACACCCACATGACTTCAATAAACCTGTGTTATAAACATATGGAACTGCCTTATACCAAGTCAGACTTTTGGTTCATTTAGGTCTGTACTCTGACTGGCAATTGCTGTCTAAGTTCTCATGCAAAAAAAGTCTTTCTTAATATCCATTACCTGAAACATTTTTGTCTGAAGTTGTCAGCAGTTGAACCTTCCACCTTATAAATGCAAAGTGTATGCTGCACCACTGAGTCACAACCCCTCCTTATAGGTGGAAGCTCCCTACACAGCAGGTGGAAGGCCCATTAACACTTTCTAGGTATGAGCCAGTACGATCCTGCTGGACCACTCTGCTGCTACTGTTGCACGTTTATAGGGTTGGATCCAGACATCCACAGATGTCATGGAAAGGAGTTGTGCTGCCATCACCTTTCTGGCACCCACTCACCCAACCAAAAGCCATTTCTGAGTATCAAGGGGACCTTCAAGAACAGCCTAAGGGTGTGGTATAAGAGAGTACAGTATGGAGGAGGCATTGAAATTACATCATTTCATTTTTGTTCCACTAGTAAAAAGTTCATAGAGCAATGTGGAAGCGGAATTTCTGCCAGTTTCCCCTTCGCATTACAGCTGCCCGTGATGCATCTCACAGAATTTCCAAGAGTCTCCCAATTTCTACAAGCAAAATTTCAGGGGAGGAAGGGGTGGTAGAAAAGATTCTTTCCATGAGCTACACGGCTCACCTCACCGTGATCTGGATCTTACCTAATATACATAATCTCTTTATGTAACTTGTATTTTTTTTCAAATTTCTAAGCAAGGTATTTTAAAGAGCACTTTGTTCTGACAAATATTTCCAAAAGCCCTTGCAAAATATACATGTAGCATCTTTCAAGGATCTTAGTACAGTTTGAAATTGCTCTTGTTTTTTAAGTGGGTTACACATTTGTTGTTAGTGAACTGGTTTGTCCAAGAACTATACAGAAGCAAGAGGCTGATTCTTGCTTCAAACTATGCTCCCTTCTTTTAAAGCAGGGATATGCCTGCCTTATAGATTTCACTTGTGATCTTTGGTCATCAAGGGCCATATACATAATGGGTTATCTTGATCTTTTCAGGATATCTCTAGGCTTCTGAAGGGTAGTACATAAAACTGCCTACTATGTATATTTTTTTTAGCTTCAGGTGGTGAGAAGGTAGTCAGATATTTCCTATGCTGTTGAAAGAAACTGTTGATAGAGAAAACTATTAAGCAAGAATATAATGACTTTCCCCAAGTCTGTTGTGTGGTGCGGTGAATCTGGTATCTGTTTGACTTCGTATAACGTACGAAATAACCAGTGACTTTTCCAGTGTTCGTGCAGGAATCTGAGAAAAGCCTTAGGTACAAGGTTTTAATCTTCATAAGGTATCACTTATCTTTTTCTGGGAAGAATTACTGTAACCATGTGTTCTTCCTGGGATCTTGGTGATTAAATAGATGTTGCAGCTAAGGAATATAGGTATCTCAGCTAATGTTCGAGTTCATCACTGATATGTTAACTACTTAAATGGAGTTGGTAACTATCTAGCATGAGACTAGGACTGGAAATTATTTCAGTGCTTTGTAGGTTACTGGCAAGTAATCAAAATTTTCCTTTAGGTTCAACACTACATCACATCTTCAGAAAAAGATAAATGTGTATAAATTCATATAGTCCTGGGTCTGCATACTGGGTCCATAGAGTGAAGGAATTCTTTTCCTCATATTTAAGCTGTAATGGAACTAAAAGAAGTATGTCATTGTTTGCTAACAAAGGATAAAAATGTGTTTATAGTACTGCTTATCAGATATAACCAGACTAGAGCTGTGAAGGCCTGGGGGGGGGGGCATTCCCAAGGCCTCCCCTCCCAATTTTCCCAATTGAAATATTGGGAGAACTGAAATAACTTCCTATAAAATGTTTTCTCTTTTAGAATGAGTGGATGTGGAATAGTTTCAAAGACAGGGGGCATGCTGTAGAAGATATATACAGCTCTTAAATCCAAGATGCATTTCAGCATCTAGAAGGATACCTAATCTTCATGAGTGGAGCATGCTGGGCTTTCACTGGCTTCTGTTGTCCTTTTGACATGACTTGTGCTTGACCTTGTAGTCAACATTTTCACCTCTCCCTCAAACCACCATGACAGACATACCATGACAGACTGAGTAACCAGTAGCTTATTGCTGTGCCTTGTTGGAGGGGGGAAAGATCAGAAAGAGGTGGAACAGAAATTGCACCAAAGCCTCAGACAAGATTCTAAAAGTTTCATTGAGTACAGAGCTCTCTAACTAGGTAGCAAAAATTAAGGTACATGTGTATAGGGTGTATCAGCTTGCAGTTTTCTTTCAAGTATTGCATATAGTTTGCTTATACAAACCTAAGGCATTTTTAACTTTTAAATTCCATAAATCCCAAAATTACATGTTTATATACTTTTATATACTAAGTTATAAATGATGCATTTGATATTGTTAAAGCAGTAAAATTAGCTTAGTTTTGATAGGACAGTAAATATTACATACTAGGGAAAAGGCCCGTTGTGGAAATAAATACAACGATCTCTAGAAACAGGCTCTGGGCGGGTGCCCCGGCCTTGGACACTCAGTGTCAATTTGCTGTGGCGACCTCAGCAGGGTATAATGACACTGAGTCCACCATTTTCTCCAGGGGAACTGATCTCTGCTACCTAAAGAACAGTTGTAATTTTGCATGATCTTCAGCCCTCACCTGGAGATTGGCAACAATGGTTCCCGAGAAGGGAATGGTTGGTTTGGAGGGTGGAGTCTATGGCTTTGTACCTGTCCGAGGTTCCACGCCTCCTGAAACTTCACCCTCTCCAGGCGCCATCCCTCACATCTCCAGGAATTTCCCATCTGGAGTTGGCAACCTTATATCCTTCCCAGCCAATCATCAACCTACCTTTATTTCCCCCTCTTCAGCTTTCCACCCCCCACACACCTGCAGCCTCCCCCGTGCTCTGAAACCCTGACTGCTACGTCACATTGGCTGTCATACGGGGGCCACCTCAGCAGCATATAAGGATACAGAGCCCACCATTTTCTCCAGGGGAACTGATCTCTGCCATCTGGAAAGCAGTTGTAATTCTGAGTGATCTCCAGCCCTCACCTGCAGATTGGACACATTTTACCTCAGAACAGCAAACTGTTTAGAATGTTAGAGGCAATAGCCAATCAAGTCACATATGCAAACGACCTCTGTGTTCCGAGGCAAAGGCCAATGAGGCTGCATATGCAAATAACCTCTCTGTTCTGACTGGCTATGGGGGGGGGAGGAACAGCAAACTGTTTAGAATGTTGGAGGCGAGACTCAAGCAATGCAGCCAGTGTGGATAGGGACAGATTCTGAGTGACACACCAGGGCGCCAACCAATTACGGAGCATGTGGAATGTTCTAAAGAAGTGCCACCACCATTCGGCTTTTATATATAAGGGAGATTTCCCCCCAAGTTTCCATTTTTTCCAGAAAAAAAGACCGAGTTTTTTCTGTGGTTTCAAAATTTCCAAGAATTGTATATCTCTAAATCAGGCATTTTTTCTATAGATTCTAACTCTAGTTTTTTGCACATTTGCCATCATCTTGTTCCTTTCGCTTTGTGCAGGATTTAATCATAGGAACGTGATAAAATAATGTCTCTTCATTGTGATCGTTCACAACGTAAGATGTTGTTTCTTAAATTGGTCTCTAGCTGTGATTGTAGGTGTTGCCATAGCACAATCATGTGTCTTCCAGGTCAATGGAACAAATCTAGTGGCTGCTGTTAAGCCATGTAGCAAAACAAAAATCCCAGGTGTCATTTACCAGATTGTTTAAAAACATGGTTTAATGAGCATTAGAAATCACATGACTGGCAATCATACTGTTTTGGGCCATGTTGTTTAACATCAGGGTTCCCACCCACCCCATGGACCTGCGATTCTTGACCATTTTGTCCACTGACTATAAAATAAGGAGGAATATGTTTGGCTTTCTCATGCCTCAGCTCTTTTGTTGCGTGGTTTTGGTCTGGTGTCTAATGGACAGTCTAGTTAAATAATCTTTGGGAAAGTTTCTTCATGCCCCATACTTCCATGCCAATGGCCTTT